GTATCCGGTTAGGTCCACGTCTCATGTTAGGCGCAGGCTCTCGGTTTTGGCCCGAGTCTGAGGTTGTATTTGACGGGACTGTTGTTGATGATCGCAGAAACCGACGTCGCTTTTCCAACTCTATCAATCTCTTCTCTTCGTTGCGTGCAGCTAAGCAGAGTTGTTTGTAGTCGGCTGCACCCGAGACGGCAGGTTACTCCATCAGCTCCAGTTTCAGCCCTTCTTGCATCTATCCATACAACAAGGCAGCCCTTGTCTCAGCTGACATACCGTCACTCCCATACGCCTGACAGAACACTCTCTCTAGGCGACGTATGTAGTCCGCTATCGATTCGTCTTTCCTCTGTGAAGCACGGCGAAAGTCCTGTGCCGCTAACATCTTGCTTCCTGGATCGAGTCGTCTCTTCAAGGTTGCTTTTGCTTTACAGAGATCCTTCCTGTCACCCTCCTCCATCAGGTTCCACTCCTCTAATGCTCTTCCTCGCAGGTGACCGGCTAATTGCAGTAGGGCCTCTTCATTACCCCACGAATTCCAAAGGGCTGCACGCTCCAATGGCGGGATCCAGTCCTCAAAATTAGTCTCACCACTGAAGGTATCAATGGGGGTGCTTTTCCTCTACGTGAATGGACGCTAGAGGGCGGAGATAGGCGTGACGCTGCTACAGCTGATGATTCGCCAACGCCCGAGACAGATTTATGAGAAGGTGTGTCGCCAGGCATGGCATGATGGACATCCACAGGCACAGAGCGGAGCGTGTCCGTAGCCACAGAGCGAGGCGTGTCAGTCGACGTGCGCTCCCTGGTACGAGATCTCGTAGGCGCACACTCTCTAGTGTCTACTGATGTACGCTCCACCGAATAACTGGATGTCCTGACGGTGGCATGGCCTGCTGCCCTGCGGTCGTGTCTTTCGTATTCCGACAGACACTTGGGCAACTCCTCTAGCTCCCTCTCCTTCAAGGTGATGAGCTCATCATCACGTGCTGACTGGGAACAATACATGCTCGACAACCTCCGGTACTTAGCTTTCTCATCGGCCAAACACTCCCTCTCCTTCACAATCTGGCTATCAAAACTAGCTCGCTAACTCTCTAACTGAGCACGCTCCTCATCCAACTCCTCTCTCAAGGCACTCACCTCGCCTTGTAACTCCACGATCTTGTCCTCCGCTGCCCTCAGTCTAGCCACTGGGTCCAGCTCTCGTTCTCCCGAGTCTCCTTCCTCCTCATTTTCGTGTTCTCCTCCGTCATTGGATTCTCCATCACCCCCACCGCCGTGCGTCGCACCCTCTTCCCCAAGAGGCTCTTCTTCCACGGGTGGTAACTCCATGAAGACTCCGTCACCGTCTTCCAGGCGAATAGCCACTCCCTCACTCGTCTCGAGCAGTTGAACTCGTACATTCCGCGGCTGACGTCCATCTTCAATCAGCGCGCCTTCCACCATCTGTTTTCTGTCTTCCAGCGATCCTCCACTTGGAATAATCGTGTCGCAATTCGATTGATGATCGAGGCTGTCATTCGACGTGAATTCAGTGGGAACAACTGTTCACTCGTTCGACCTCCCGCGAGGTCCGTGTCTCTCCCCGCCATCGCTGCTCCTGGCCTCTACCCGCAGGTAGTAAAATAATGCCTTCGTGAAGCTGTTCAGAAACCTGGGCGAGCAACAATGTCGGATGGCCCAGGTCTCGGTGGGACCTCCACTGTAAAAACGCTTCTCTCACGCACCACAAGAGACAGCGGGCCAGTCACGCGGCCAACTCTCTCATGCGCATGCTCATACAATACAGTAATAAAAGGGGTGTGTCTGGGTGATATAAGTGTGTGTATACTAGTGATAATGATCGCAACGGCAGTCATGTCCTAGCGGCTATTACATGTACATAGTTTGGGTATTATGTTGGCTCTTTCTTTTCTGCCGTTGCTGTGCTGTACCCACGAAAGCGGTGCTCAGGAAGAGGAGAAGATTTTCCTTGGGGTCCCATCCCTGGTCCTTGGATAAATCACCCGATCCCTAGCACTGCTCCTGAGGGGGACTTACACTTAAGAAATATTCTTTCCTTAGCCCAAGGGATAGAGGGACAGTAAGCACGCCTGAGGGATAGTAAGCTCTCCCTGAGGGCTGCTAGCTGCTAGGAGGGATAGTAAGCTATCCCTGAGGCTAACGCTAGCACTTACCCAGGGTTCGGAGGGATAGGAAGGCTATCCCTATGTAGAACATATACATAGTATGAGTACAGCATAGTGACTATAAGTTGTTGTTAAACGAGGTTTGTAATGTTCTAGGCAAGTCTTTGCGATCGCCTTAGCTGTCGACATGCCTGCTCTATTGCTGGCCAGCACTTTCCTTTCCACTCTACTTCAAATGCTGCTGGAGAGTGACAAAAATGAGGAAATGCTTTAAACACTCTTTTCTTTAGCTCAAACATCTCGGCTTTGGCAAGGCCCTAGTGACGATGAACCACTTGGTGTGCATTGTTAACCCTCGGCGCGCATGCGCAGCGAGGGTTACGGTAGTTCCGTAAGTGTGTCTGTCAGTCTGTCTGTTACCACGTTTTCTGCCACTGCGCGCACGAAATCAGGTAAATAGCGATATGATCGGGTTCAGTGTTTACACTGGGCTGATTTTAAAACAGGCGATTTTCGTAAAACTACTGTGTTCTAAAGTTATGGCGTGAAAACCAAGTGAACAAGCCAATATGCATATTAGCCACAGGCTTACCTCAACCGCATCCGTTCGCTCTGTGTGTCTGAAGGCACAACAAGCCACAACGAAGGGCATGTATCGACTCCCTCGTGCTATTTACTACTGTAGCTAGCCGTGCCAGACTCTCCGCGAGCTACTAGCGGGATACCACGAGTAACGGCATAAAAAGCCCAGCCCATCAATTAGTGGTACCGCACCTGCGCAGTTCGCCAAGGGTTTGCACTTAGTGCTTTCATTTACTCCAAAAAATAGCCGTTTTCGCCAGGCTCTGCGTCACAGGTACTTGGTGCAGCATCATTGCCCCCCCCTTTTCAGTGCCCTTTCCAATGCCTCATGACGTCATCCAGTGATTCCTTGTTGATGTCAGTGGATGGAAGTAGATGGGAGGGACAGTAACATTCCCTGATAGATAGGTTAAAATCATTTGCAATGCCTTTTATGAAGATCCTTACCAGTTTTCTTTCTCTTCAACTGTAGAACTCGGAGAAGAAAACAGATGGCAGGGAAGGAATGGTCACATTCCCTGAGAGATAAGCTTTCATTAGATCATTCATCTCCTTCTTGTCACCTGCACATTTATTTGTTGTTTAGTATGACCCTTTTCATTGTTTCCTCACATGGGCATGTATTTTTGCTGTTTTTTGCTTCACTTGGCATGTGTCCCCACTCGCAATTGATACTTGAAACAGTGTCGTCTTCTCTGGCCATGATACCAGCATGAATACTTCTCCTGAAATGATGTGATAGCTATATACTCCGCAGGCGTTAACTTTTTAAAAAAATATTGGAGTTAACTTAAGTTTTCAAATGGTTGCTGCTGTTGCTGTCTTAAGACGGATCGTTCTGTCATTCTCGATCTCTCACAAAAAGCAGTCAGCGGCGAAAGAGCTCTGCCCCACTTACGCACCCTCTGCAATTTTGCGCGTAAATTCGGCGCGCTCCCCGCTCTGAGAAAGAGGGAGTGGTGGTATGAACGCGTTGTTCGTACGTAGATACTTACGCGCGTGCGTGCACATATACGCAATTTACGTAATTTGTAGCGCTGGCAAAAACGGGAACGGGGCCACCCGTACGCCTCCCGTTCCCCTCCCGTTCGCGCTCGTTCAACTCCGTTCACGCCCCGTTGTCCGTTTACTTAGAACGGGCGCCGTTGTACGGGGCCGTTCATGGGAAGTTTTGGACGTGTACTGTAAAATTAAAAATCCTGCGAATTTAGGCATATAGGTAAGGGAGACAAGATAGGGATGGGATACATGAAGCATGGTAATAAACAGATTTGAGCACGCTGACACCCCCAACACCCCTTCACACAATCCCTATACTGTTGCCTGGTGTGCCACTCCATTTGTACTCATTAGCATGACTTCTTCGTATTCATAGTCGTATGCAATGTGAATGTTTAATACTTCACCTAGGCAACAATATAGGGATTGTGTGATGGGGTGGGAGTGTCAGCGTGCTCAAATCTGTTCATTAACCATGCTTCATGTATCCCATCCTCCCTTTCATCCCTCTTTTTTTAAATTCGCTGGAGTTTTCATTTACTTGTCTCCACTCATTTGTATATACTACTACGCATATCTCTGTGAAAGGGGCAAGCCCCCCTATAAAATTATTAATAGCCTGTTGTCGTCGTGGATATGATCCAAGTTTCATCTCCATGTGTGCTGCTGTTAGCAAGTTTGAGGAGTGACAGTTAGCAAGTTTGACAAACAATATGCGGTCGTCATGGAAACATGTAATCGTCAATAATAGGCATACATACCAAGTTTCATCTCTATGCGTGGTGCTACCAGAGGAGTGAAGAAGTAAATTTAAAGAAAAGTGCTAGAGGCTATTTGTTGTTGTTTACAAACATGTAAACACCGCAGCATGTTGTTTCATGCACCCTTTAACCGTTAGAATCACATGAGTGCAGGTATGCATGACAGGGTCTACACTAAACAAAAAGCAAACCTTGGCATAGTAGAGATGCCAGCCTTCCATCATGGCAAAGACCTTGGTGACAGACACGGTACCCCCACTGCGCGTGCACGCTGAGGGTTAGTTGCCCAAGGTGGCTCTTACCAGACACTGAAATACCAAGAACAAATCAGAACATGCACCTAAAATTGCAGTACTGCAGCTGTACCTGGCGCCCTAAAAGAAAGAGAGAGATAACCCCCACTGATGACACCTACCTGCAGAGCCACAGCAGCTATATACTTGCAAAATCCCCCGCGGCCTTAGTCCGGCGTAAACTGCCGAGTTCAGCAACGCAGACTATACTGCAGCTCGATCACACGTGGCCATTACGCATGCGCAAAAATAATTCTCCATAGTAACGCCCTAACAACTGGTGGCAGAAAACGATGACGAGTTTCTCGCTAGACCCGAGCGTTTTACCATCCGTTCCCGAGCGAAAAGGGACACTTAACCTCCGCTCCAACCACATGAAGTTCGGTAGAGCCACTCTCAACTCACACTGGTAAGTATAATATACGTGCGTAAATAGGGGGGGAGAGGCTAAAACGTCAGCCCTGGACATGAAACGTATTAGCGTTTGTCTAATAGCGATAACATCTAACTTACGTTGGTGCTGCTGGCTGGCCTCCTAGTTCCGAAAATATCACCTTGTTTTGTCTGTGTGACGGAGTTAGTTAGGGAAGCAGAAGGTGGCTTGTAGATCGCCAAATCTTCTGGCTCCATGTACTGCCAATGTCCAAGCAGAGCTACCCACCTAAACGCCTGTTCAGAAGTTACATAGACAAGCGCTGTAGTTTTGTTCAAGCACTAGCAGACCCCACTGCAGTTGCGTCTGTTTGCTTTAATATTGTCACTTTGAATACAACTTCCCACTAGTTATGTATGCAGCCAACGATACACACCGCAGCAGTAACTCTCTTTTGGCCTGTTGCAGGCATGCAGCTCGAGAGGCTGAACCAAAGGACTATGATGTGACTGATTCAAATGAGAAGAGAGATCTACTGAAGGCCACTTACTGCAGGATTGGCAGTTGTGATGAGGTAGGTAAGAAGGAGAAGGAAGAAGAGATAAAGAATAGAATTAGGGAGTTATAGAGGAGAGGGAAGAATAATAAGTACGGAGTAGAAAAAGTAAGGGGAGAATGTAGGAAGTGAAAGAGTGTGTAGGTATGTGGGAGGAGGGATATAGAATGAACCAGAGAGAGAGACGAAGGGACAGAGGATAAAATGTTGTCTCTTATTTCAGGGGTTCCCTGAGACCACCACAAGTAGAGGCAATGAGTGAAGCTCACCGTCTGAGGAAAGACTTCCAGACACGACCTACCCACAGATCTCCAGTCATGTTGACAATTTTACTCAGTCCATGAGTCCTCGGGACAAGGTGGGTACTCAGTGTCAAGTAATGTGCTAGATTATCACTAGCTCAGTAGTTAAACCCAAGTACATATTTTACTTTGATGACTATGTGCACAGAGGAGAGGATACCAAGATCGAGGTTTTAAAACTCAGGCCCGTTATTTCACACACAAGCACTTTAATACACAACCACTTCTTTATTTACCCTCGGCGTCATGCGCAGCGAGGGTTGCTTGTACTGGTTCTTAAGTGTGTCCGTCTGTCTGTTATCAAATTTTTTTGCTACCATGTGCAACGAGACAAAAAAAGAAGAGCATACCAAAAGGTTTAGTGTACACTGGCTTGATTTTATATTTGCGATTTACGTAAAGTACTGTGTTTGTCAGAGATGTTGTGAAAACCAAGTGAAAAAGCCAATAAGCACTTTTGTTACCGCACCAGAATCCACATGCTCTGATTACCTTGGTGGCACCAGAAGTTTTACAACGAAGTGCAAGTACGATTCCCACACGCCATCTAGAATGTAGTTAAGGCTCTTAGCAAACTGGCAAGACAGTATGTATGTAGTAGTGGTAGAAAAGGCGCAGTCCATCAATTGGCGGTACTGACCATACTTTACATACTTATGTTTCTAGTACGCTGAGGGTTTGAACTTTAGTGTTTTTTGTACTGATAACGCATACACACATGCTGTACATGTAGGTACTCCTAGAGAGGGGTATGGAAGTATTCTACCAAGACACACATCAGAGTACGGGAAGAGACAACTGAAGACTACGTATCACACTGACTACCACTATCAGGGAGAATGGTCTAGTTCCAGTGATAGAGATGGGGAGGTATGGGAAGATAGCACACGCTCTATCCACTCTTCATTTAAACCTACTCATCTCTCCTTCATATCTTCAATTCCCACTCCTTTTTTCTACCCTTATCCTTTAAATAGCTATGGTGCCTCCCCTTCCACCACACCTAAACAACTACCATGATCACGAAGTACGGTAGTACGTACTTAGTATATAGGGATGACACAGGTCATCCTGCATTATGCTCATACATTTGAGATTTGTACGTTTCACTTTCAGTTTCTATCAGATGCCACTTCTGACATATCAGCCTATATTCAAAAAGAGCATGTACACCTATTAAATCGCATAATTGGTAATGGATTTATTCAAGAAAGTTAGTTTAGTTAGTCAAAAGTCTTGTTGTTGTTGTTGTTCAGTTTCGACAACCGTATCTGATAAACCAGAAAGATACGGAATATGAAACTTTGCAACAAAACATGGAACCAATGACAGGTCGTACAAAAGCATAATAATTTGTTTGTAAGCATAGAGGGTTACATACTATCACAGGGTACACTGGCTCTACACTTTCACCACATGAGCCGTGTATCACTAAGTACGGTGGTACTTAGTATATAGGGATGACACAGATTGTTCTGCATATGCCCATACATTTGAGATTTGTATGTTTCACCTTCTGGTCCGTATGGTCCAAAAAAGGCATGTATCCAGAAAGGCTTAAATCGGAATTGATTTTTTCAAGAGAAAATCTTATTTTGTTGTTGTTGTTGTTGTCAGTTAGACAAAAACCACGAAAGATATGGAGATGAAGCTTTGCACGGAGATTGTAATTATGACAGGTCGTAAAAGATCATTTTGTAAACAACAAGTACACAACAAAAAGCAAAAAATGGACCAGGGCATACATTATTATTGGGACAAATAAAGTGTGCGAACTAGGTAGAGTAAATACCCAGAATGATAAAACTTTGCAAAACATCTTGTGCCTATAACTTGATTATTGTGGGTCCTCTAACAATGAAACCTGGTACATGATTTTGCATGATAAGAGTTCATCAAAACAAAAATAACATGTTTGTAAATGAGCCTCAGGCTATTTAATGGTGTTTCAACTTGCTTATGCTGGGTCCTCTAAACAATGAAACTTGGTACACTTATGTACTTTGGTGGTGATAGAAAATGTGAACGGTGACAAACAGTCTGAGGCAATATACACATGCTTTTATCAAGTGGAACACTCACATCACCAACGTTGTGCTAAGGCCAGGGCAACAACTAGGCATCATTCACAGGACTTTCAAACAAGCCAACTCCCCTACCCTACTCCACCTTTACGGTGTCCTTGTGTTGCCTACTCTGGACTACTGTAGCTCTGTTTGGGATCCCCAGTCTAGTTTACTTGTGAACAAACTTGAATCTGTTCAGAGGCTGGCTGCCAGAATAATCACCAATCGTTGGTCTACCCCTCATTCTTCAACTCACCCAAGTCACTCCCTTGTTTATGTCCACTCAAGGAGCGGCGATGGAGGCAGAAGAGCATGATCTGTGCTTCGTATTCTCAAAGGCGCACTCAATGATTCCTCCCACTTATTCACCCTCACCCTAACCCTAGACGGCGCCTTTCATCACTCCTATCCGTTAGTCACTCCTTTGCCAGGACTGCCTCTCATCAGTCGTCTTTCTTCATCAGTTAGTGCTCGCGTTTGGAACAGTTTACCAGACCTAGTCGTCAGTGCTCCAATCTAGCTTCTCCTTTAAACGGTTGAAAATCTCTCTCACTATTTAGCATTCCCTAATTAGAAATGGTGAATATAGGGATGGTATGTATAAAAAGCAAGGAAACAAGACAGGGGTGACCTAGTGAATGTGATGGCAGTAGTAGAATGGATGATGGCTATATACTTCTGACTAACACTGCTTGCTTGTGTAAATTTCCCTCACTCAAGCCTTATATTGTCACGAACATGAGTAAGCTCTCATACAATGACTCATTTCCTAAGCAAGTAATACACAGGTGTGTGCCCTCTCTGTCAGCTCCTCAGGTTTTTGGGTGTGACTGCATTGTGTGCAGCCAAGTTTGCTCCAACCACCATGATATCTTTTACAATGCTGCTTTGTTGGGCCTCCATAGAATCCCTTTACCATTGTCTTTTACACTAAACAAATGCAGGTTGTGAGTAAAGTGGCGACAATATAGGGCGTGTGTTGAGGAAAAATTTACACAAGCAAGAAATATCAGTTTGAAGAATGTGACCATCATCCATTCTACTATTGACACGTAGGTCATCTTGTCTGTGTCACCTTGCTTTTTAGACCATCCTATATTCACCCATTGTGTTTAATGAAAGAATTTGTTTATGTCCAGCTGTGAAAGTCGGTGGTGAAATTTTATTCTCCATAGTAGGTAGGTAGGAACTGTCAGGTGAAGACCTTCCTCTTTTATTGTTTCCTCTTCCTCTATCCGTCTTTTCACAGCCAGTCACTCTTCCACACACTATTTGACATATTCTGCTTTCCCAACTTTTAGCATGTTAGCAAATGTCCAAAAAATTCTTATTCCACCATAGCCAATCTGATTCTCTCCTCCCAGCCACACCTCCTCGCAGGCCATTGTCTCTATCATCACACTCTGTCACGAGTTCACAGACACAGCAGAGACCACAGGAGACATAGATCAACCACCTGGCAAGATTGCCCCAGGCTCCTCTCACCCATCACACCCGTAACATGTACAAGCAAGCACTAAAAACACAGCTCACATTAGACCTTGCTGTAGTACACTGGTTATGACAGAAATTAATGTATTCATTTGATCTACAATATACAACAGTGAAACGTCTATTGTGCTACACTAACTGAGCTGGGGCATGGCTACACTTCCTGTTCCTTTTACAAAAGTTAAAATCCGTGTGAATATATGATGAGGTATAATACTGTACCACAAGCGCGCGGCCTGAGGCAAAAGCGCTTGTGGGGATGAATCTCATTAGTTCAAAACCACAGTGGTGCGCTCTACTTTGCTTTATAAACTCGTGAGCCAGAGGAGAAGTTGCGGTATGCTTTGCTGTGAGGGCTAACAAGCCCGAAACAGATGTCCAGAGCTCCCATCTTTTTTCTCTTGGCATCACATGATTTCTACATGCGTGTGAACATCATTTTTAGCCCTCTCAATATACTCTCTGTACTGGTCAGGAGGGATCTAGTTGGTTGGCAGCACTCTCATGCAAGTTAGGGCCTGATGTTAGGATACTCTCACATGGTCTATGGTTACATGGAAGCATGGTTTATGAACAGATTTGAGCACGCTGACACCCCCTACCCCATCACACAATACCCCATATTGTTGACTATGTAAAGTATTAAACATTCAACATTGTGTACGACTATGAATACGAAAAAGTCATGCTAATGAGTAACCAGAGAGTAACAAATGGAGTGGCACACCAAGCAACAGTATAGGGATTGTGGGAGGGGTGTTGGGGGTTGTCAGATCGTGCACTCATTAACCATGCTTCATGTATTCCATCCCTATATTGTCTGCCTTTCTTTTTATACCATCCCTATATGTCTCTTTTTAAATTGCAGGAGTTTTAATTTACTGGCCACAACATACGGTATGCGAATTCTGATGCACCCTCGCCAGCTCTGTTGTATGCACCCGCAAGCTGTCAAGAGTCCTGTTGATCCCTGGCTCTAAGTGCCAGCTATAAGAGCATAACTCTCAGCATTCACACAGTGCAAGACCGAGTATCTCAACCTTTGTTCAATGTTGCTAGTCCAGTTGATCTGTACAATGTAGCATTATTGCCTTCCTCGTCACCTCTTGACTATGACAACCAATTGAGCGTCGCGCGAGAGCACGCCCACTGGCGAGCTAGTAGTACTGTGCCCACTGGAGGGCATCTAATGCTAAGCATCATTATGGCAATTTTTCGCATGTTTCATGCGTGTTTGGAATGAAATATTAAATACCACATTATGGTGTGTGGCAATATACACATAACAGGTCATATATACATATACATGTATATGTAAACATTTACCATTACAATAGCTAGGACCTACATATAGCTTGAAAATCATGTTACTGAGTAACCAGCACAGTTACAGAGTTCCAATGGAGTTTAATTAAAGGGATGTGGCAGTACACAAGGGCTAAATTTAGAAAAGTCAATAGGATCACAGTGAAAGAATGTAATTGAGTTCCGTTTTTAGTGACATTCCTAAATTATACTACCACATTCCCTTTAAGAGTGGCACACCAGGGAACAATATAGGGATTGTGTGGTGGGTCGGGGGTGTCAGCGTGCTCAAATATGTTCATTAATGTATCCTATCCCTGTCTTATGTCCCTTTCTTATCATGAGTTCGGGTCCTGAATAATAATACACGTCACAAACTCATTCGCTCATACATGAGCAATTGCATTGCTGGTTTTCTACGGTGTTAGTTTGACAACTTCTTGGGAGCCAGAAAAATCCGGCATGTCCTGTTCCATGTGTGTACATGTAAATATAGCTGACATTCCTGAACATGGAAAAGGACATGTAGAATTTATTGGCTCCTAACACGAGATTATTGTGTATGAAAACTCCCCTCTGAAGTTTTTCTTTGGACCTATCTCAATACATACGACGATTTCAAGTGAAAATCAAGCCACCTGGTTTTTAGCAACACTCTATTGCATGCTGCTGGAGCAACATGGTTTTAGCACCAGGGGTTTGCACATACTGTTCGTTTTAATGGGAAGTAATTTCCACAAATTCATGAAAAAGGAGATACAGAGTAATATGAGGTGTTGAATTGCTGTACAGTAACATCATACCCAACTCCCTCCCTACATCCATAGAGTTGGAGGTATGTTGTTATTAGACTATAGACTACACTATAGCTTGCAGTATAATGATGTTCTGTCAGACAAATTGATCGGTGTCAATGAGTGATTTGGCGAAGTGCCCAGACACAAGTAATTTTTATAAAACACTATTATCAGTTTAGAACAACCACATGTCGTCTGAGGTCCAAGAGTTAGACACCTGTACAGAAGGAAAAGTGTCATGTTTGAGATTAGAAGCTGTACACAACTGGTGAGACTTACTATTAAGCAACTCGCAGACCTTTTCAGCTTCATCTCGTTTCTGCTCCTTCATCATTGCATTGATAATTTCACCATATGTGGCATCACTTGCATTTTTCTCGTGCCATCGTTCTAACAATAACCGTCTCCTATCGTCCTCATCCTTGCCATCACGGTCTATGTCTTGTATATCACGCTCTTCAATATGTTTAAGCCGTCTACCAACCTTTCTCCACGATATGAATTTGCCAATATCTAAGATATGTTCATCAGAACATTTCGTGTTCAGATTCTCCTTTGTTAGGTTGTATTTTTTGTAGATGGTAGATGTTGATGAACCTGTAATGAAAACTGATATTTAAATACAAAGATGGTATGTAGGAAAGATGACTGATGCAATGGCACATGAGGGTTACATACACATAGGGGTACACTCTGTCTCTACACTTTTCACCACGTGAGCCCTGTATCACTAAGTACGGTGGTACTTAGTATATAGGGATGACAACAGGTTTGTTCTGCATTATGCCCATACATTTGGAGAGTGTACTGTTTCATCACCTTCTGCATCTGTATGGTCAAAACAGCATGTACCCAACAAATGGCTAAAATCGCATATCAGTAATTGATTTATTCAAGAAAGTCTGTTCTTCTGTGACTGGGTCGTAGCATTTTATTTCTTTTGTAAGAACAATAACAAAAATAGCCCTAGGCCATCATATGACAGTGAAAAATCATTTCTCAAAATGAAGGGGATATAGGGATGGCTTGAAGACACCAAAAAGGAAAACAAGGTCATTACACAGCTAAGATGCACAAAGCTACATGACACCACTCCCTATCATCCTTTGTTCGATATTAAAGTTAACTTTCCTTATGACAATAACAACAAGATATAGGGATGGTGTCCATGTAGCTTTGTGCATCTTAGCTGTGTAATGACCCCTTGTTTCTTCCTTTTTGTGCTCAAGCCATCCTATACCCCCTTCATTTGAGAAGAATGATTTTTCCACTTGTTTCCACTATTTTTAACAGCTTATGCACAATCGACTGCATTTTATTGTTACAGTCACTCTGATGTTCATGGGTATGTTGTAGGATAGGTTCCATGCAAGGACAAACTCTATTGTTGAAAGCTGTAGCTAATGGCTGCTAGTGCTGAAGCAGACTACGATACCATATTCACCTCAGTATTGTCCATCAACAAGGATGTCAATTAGGTTATGGCACATGGTTGTGGTTTCCTGGGAAGTCAGACAGTAAATTAAATTTAATAATAATGACCGTACTACACCGAAAGTCGGCAAATTTTTCCGAGATTTCACCAGATTTCCGCGTGTCACCCTTTGCGTGCTCGTATCAAAATCTTGTTCGGATAGCCCGTTCTATTCTGGGATATAGCTGCTTTGTACCCGGGAGTTAAACCTTCGAGATCCGAGAACGGCAATTTTCCGCATACGCGCTCCGTTACACGTCGGGCGTTGACACGCCCCCTAAAGCCGCTCGCACGGTTGTGAAACGAGGTGGAAACGTAGAAGACAGGCTCAACGAAGCTAGCAGGTAGGCTTTTTGAATCGTTGGCAGTTGTTTTTTGACGGCCCGTAAATTTCTCCGCGTAATGTCGGGGTATGCGCCCGTTCACGGCGCGTGATAGATCGACATAGTCAACTTCGAGAGCGCCGCCACGGCCCTGGCGAGCGAGTTTCGACGCTCTAAAGTATATAGCTGTCTTCTAGGTAGATGCAGGTCCTTCTCCGTGAAAAACGTCTGAATCGCGCGGTATCCGCTGTTTAGACTTCCAACGCTGTTTACTAAAAATCAATTTTGCCGACTTATGCCCGGTTTTCGCGTGTACGGTCACCTTTGGTAATCAGGGCTACAACCTAGGGGGGACAAACGAAGGCCCCTTTTTGCACCTGTGCTCGCGTAACACCGCGCTGACTCTGCCAACGTGTAAACCAACAGACAAAACGCAAGCCTAGCCAGTTGGAATGTGCACACTGACTTACAGAAGGCACTGGAGCTAAGAGTTCCTCTGCAGTCTGTCAACTCGCCTGGTAACAATACGCGCGCACAGCTAGCGCATTCGACAACGCCTCTGCATGGCGCATGCGCGCGGCTACTGATGCTGAGTTAGCAGCAAATGGCATTGTTCAGTATCGACCATGGAGGAGCTCCATGATCTACCGTAGTGACTTACGGCAAGAAAGAAACGATCGCTGATGTCCGTGCGCACCTCCGGCGAAATTGGAGACGTTCAGTGAAACATATCAGCGCTTAAACTGGTTCTGGTAAGGAGATAGCGGGATGTGAAGAAGAAGCAAGAGACGCAGAATATGATGATGATGAACACGAAAATCGTGAAGTCGCGTATGAGCGAAGTCTCGCGTGGAGAAACTGAAGGTGCGGTATGAGTCTTTGGGGACATGTATAGGGTAGATATGGGCCCGTAGACTATTGCTAGTGTGTTTTGAAGGCCTAGGGAGTCATTCTCAACGAGTTTTTAGGCGTTTTGTACGCAGATCACGTGAGATTTCACTCGTGCCATACCGACGCTCTAATAGGCACCAATACGCGTGCTAGCTAATACCCAGAGTGATAAAACTTTGTACGCTGTGCACAACCATGTGTTAGTATCAACAAGTAAACATTACAGTGTAAACAACAACAAACAGCCTCAGGCAATAAAAAATTGTAAAAACTGCTTGTGCCTGTAACTTTCTTATGGTGGGTCTTCTCACAATGAAACTTGGTACACTGATGTACCACGATGAGAGTTCATCGATGTAAATAGCAACAAACACCCTCAGGCAATAAAACTTGTAGGTGTTTGCACCTATAAATTACTTGTGGTTGGTCCTCTAACAATGAAACTTGGTACACTGATTCACCATGATAAGAGTTCATCGAAACAGAAATTACAAGGTTCTAAACAACAACAAACAGCCTCAGGCAATGGTGTCAGTGCATATAACTTGCTTATGATGGGTCCTCTCACAATCAAACTTGGTGCACTGATGTAATGTGAATGAACATGATGCAGTAGTACAATGGATGATGGCTATGTACATACTTCAAACCGACGTCGCTTGCTCGTGGAAAACTTCCTCCGCACAAGCCCTATATTGTCGCCATCTTTACTCACTGACATGAGTTTGTTTAGAAAAATGGTGTAAAGTGCGAGGACAATGGTAAAGGATCTCCGTAGATGGCCAAGAACGCAGAATTGTAAAACTGGTTAGTTGAGCAAATGTAGAAGAAAAGTCTTATACTTCACACAATGCAGTCATAACTGAAAACTGAAGAGAGGGCATTACGAAATATCACGGCGGTGCATCATACACTCATACTTCGCGGCAATATAGGACTTGTGTGGAGGAAATTTTACACGAGCAAGCGATGTCAGTTCGAAGTATATAGCCATGTACTACTGCATCACATTCACTAGGTCATCCCTACCTTGTCTCCTTGCTTTTCACCACTTATTTGAAGAATTTTTAAAATTTATTTGTAGCTATATAACCTTTGTCATCCGTTTACGGTGAATAATATGTCGTAACCTTGAGACTATAACTTGTATATGCTCCTTGGTGAAGTATGGACTAGTATTTGGGTTAGTAAATGACTGAATCTCAACTCTTGCTACTGCAGCATGAGTTTGTATTTATTACTGCATGAGACTGCATTGTTGCTATCTATTTCCTCACAATCCTGGAGTTCCTGAACACACAGGTGTTGCCCTCTCTGACAGCTCCTCAGTCTTTGGTTGTGACTGCATTGTGTGCAGTCAAAGACTTCCATGTTCACTCAACTAACGATGAGTTTTACACAATGCTGCGTTTGTGGCCCTACAGAGAATCCATTTACCATTGTCCTCACACTAAACAAATTCATGTTGTGAGTGAAAGTGGCGACAATATAGGGCTTGTGTGGAGGAAAATTTACACGAGCAAGCAATGTCAGTTTGAAGATGTAACCATCATCCATTTTACTACTGCATCACGTACACTAGGTCATCCATGTCTTGTCTCCTTGCTTTTTATGGCATCCCTATATTCCACACTTTTTAAATGGAAGAATTTATATTTACTTGTCTCCTTTCCTTTTTTACGGCATACACATGCATTGGGGCATGATGCCCATATAAAAAGTAACATGTATTTATTGTCTTCGTCGTCGTTGACATGTTCCTTTCACCACCAAAGTACATAAGTGTACAACATTTCATTGTTAGAAGACCCAGCATAAGTAAGTTTCAGGAAAACAGCACTCAATTGCCTGAGGCTGTTTGTTGTGGTTTACAAACTTGTACTTTATGTTTTGATGAACACTTATCATGGTTAGAGGACCCACCATCACAAGTTATAGGCACAAACACCATTTGCAAGTTTTTATTGCCTGAGGCTGTTTTTTTGTTGTGTACAACTTGTAAATTTCTGTTTTGATGAACTCTTATCATGGTACATAAGTACACCAAGGTTTTTTGTTAGTGGACCGACCATAAGCAAGTTAGAGGCACAAACACCATTTGCAAGTTTTTATTGCCTGAGGCTGTTTTTTTGTTGTGTACAAACTTGTAAATTTCTGTTTTGATGAACTCTTATCATGGTACATAAGTACACCAAGGTTTTTTGTTAGTGGACCGACCATAAGCAAGTTAGAGGCACAAACACCATTTACAAGTTTTTATTGCCTGAGGCTGTTTGTTGTTGTTTACAACCTTGTAATTTCTCTTTCGGTGAACCCTTAATAATATGGTACATCAGTGTACCAAGTTTCATTGTTAGGGGACTCACCATTAACAAGTTATAGGCACAAACACCATTTGCAAGTTTTTATTGACAGAGGCTGTTTGTTGTTGTTTACCAACTTGTAATGTTTACATTTTGATACTAATGATGGGTTGCATTTGTGTACAAAGTTCTATCATTCTGGGTATTTGCTCTACCCTAGTTAGCCCACTTTTTTGGTCTATATCATAATATATGGCCTGGGGCTATTTTTTTTTGTTTTTTGTTGTTTACATGTAAACAACATTATTTACAAACAAATTATAATGCTCTTGCACGCCGGGACACGGATTCCAATCTCTGTTCAAAGTTTCATGTGCATATCTTAAGTGGTTTTTGAGACACCTCCTCCTTTGCCTAAACTGAACAACAACAACAACACAAGAAGAATTTTTAAAACTGACTTTCTTGAATAAATCAAGTACCGATTATGCGATTTAAGCTATTTCTTGGATACATGCTCTTTGTGATGATAAAAATTAGTCTGATGTGTCAAAAGTTGGATCTGATTGAAATAGAAAGTGAAAAACATGAAAATCTCAAATGTATGGGCATAATGCAGGACCCTGTGTCATCCTAAGTACTACCGTACTTAGTGATTATATATACATGCAATACATATGCATACGTATATGATGACAAACACGCATAAAAAAGGAAACATATGGCTACAAAATAACAAATGAATGGTTAGTTGTATATGTACCCATGTACGGTATGTCAAGTTGGAAAAAACAATGCATAATTGACTTTTAACTTATGATTGTGAGCCTACCTGCTTCGGCATTCAGCACAGATGTCACAGAGACTGCAAGTGCATTAACAGGTTCAGTAGGAGAGCCAGTCGTTCCTGTCAATACCCCGCACACGGAGCTGGCTGCTCCACCTTCAGTGATACCCACAGAAGCTGCAGCCACCCCAACCTCCCCAGCTGAAAGAAAGATTTATGCACGATACAAAAATTCAAAAATGAAAAAGGTTGATACGTACTGATTATTATATGTACTGTGGTGCTTATCAAACATACAGAACTACAATTCCTGTCGTACGCACCATCGTTACCAGTGGATTGTAACGGTGGCAGTGTCAGATGCTCCAACAGAAACGACGGCATTTTGGTCTGTCCTAGCCCCTCCCTCCAATAAGGTATCTTCCGTTCCGCTCACTGTCACACAATGAGAGCCATCAGTCGGAGCGTTGTTCCGGCAGGAATGGTGACAGACGCACCCAGGAGAAAAGTCACCAGTTCCTGCGTGCACACAATTCCAGGTTTAATATATACAAGTAAATAAAAATTGGATATAGGGATGCCATAAAGGCAAGGAGACAAGACAGGGATGACCTGGCATGTGAATGCAGTTAGCACAATGCGATGACGACATAAACGATGTGTTGAAG